GCCCTGTATTCTTCTATGGTCTGTGTCATACAAGCTAAGATGATACCCTTCAGAGTTATTTTCCAAAAATGCAACACATTCCAAACAAAGGATGGGTGCTTGAGATTAACACTTGATGAAAGTATCATGGCTGACCCTTTAAGTAGCTCTCAAAGCTCTGCATTCTTCATGTCTTTTCTCAACATTTCTGTTTTCTGATAGAGTTAACTGCAGAGATCACGGGTATTTTAGATTTCAAACATAATACATTTGGGTGACACTAAGTTTATTGAACATTTTACTGAAATTATGTTTCGATGACATACATTTGAGGCAATGAATACTATTATCACAGCTAACCCTCCAGTGAGAGATTGTGATCAAATCATGACAATTTCTCATACATTCCTGTGATTTATTTTTCATTTGTCATTGGTTTTGAGAACTCTTGAGCAGTGTTAGCATACTGAAAGGTATTTCATCATATAAGTGTATATGAGGTCAACAATACAAGAAGAGCCGAAAACTGAAACAAATGCATTTCACTTGAGAGCAAACCCATGAAAAAATAGTGATCAGTATCAGTAAAAGTGCATTAAAAGCCCCACACAATAAATATCTCACAAACATAAAGAAATTTACATAAAGGGCTGGGTGATGTGGACACCATTTTGTCATTTTGAGTTTAATAATCTTTTAAAATGGAAGCACATTTTTCTGTGAAAAAAGATACTGCACAACAGAACTGTATAAATGTTACCCCCTTTTGAAGATTTAAGATAAATCTTTAGTGTCTCCAGAATGTGTCTGTAAAGTTTTTAGCTTAAAACACCCATTAGATTATTTATTATACCTTTCAGAATTTTGAATTTTCTGTTCTGAACACAATGTAGCTGTTTTTGTTGTCTGTGCCTTTAATGCAAGTTCTCCCCGCCCATCATTCTCACTTGCCTGTCAGAGTATGCCTCAATCTCTGGCTGCGTCAGATAAACAGCACAGTGACAGATATGAAGGAAGCAGATCTCACATAATGATTGTGAGAAATACTACAGTAAAAACTTTACTGAGTTATTTCATGCCTTTCTGCAACCATGAGTATCACACAATGTTGTTGCAAAGTTTATGCACACAGTGTGCGTGTTACTTTGCACTGTTTTTGCACGACAAATATGACAGGATACACGTTAATATTCACTGCTGTATGGATATCAGTTATATTAATGCACAAAATAAACCTAATTTAACATCCACAAACCGGGATTGAAGCTTCTTCTTTTATAATTGTACTGACATGCGGCTGTGGTGATAAAGTACAGACGGTAAAATCGCTGTATTTTATTACAAACATGCACTGTTTTAAAAATGTTTTAAACTTGTAAAACACATTCCTGATCACATTTGACGATGACTGATGATCACAGAGAGTTGAACAGATCCTTTAATCCCAGTTTTTTTGATCACGTCATGTCTTGTTGATATGATTATACGCATTACTTCTGAGACATGTTTATATGGGGCTGTCAATCAATTTGGTGGGCGCGAAAACCACACTCCTACATCACTTTGCAGTGGGCATCAAAACGGGAAGGATTTGGATCATATTTTTAACATCAGTAAATAAAAAAAAGAGACTTATTGAAAAACTGTTTTTTTCATAATAGGTGCCCTTTAAACCATGGTCGAAAAAATACTTTGTTTATTTGATGTTTTAAAATAATAATATTGTTATAATTACTTTAAGATTTTAAAATACAATACATTTCTGTCATTGCAGAACAGAGCAGCTCTGGAGATGAAGTTCATGTGCTTATTTTCTTTAAATATTAATATGTAATACTGTGAGCATCATGTGTGTTTAAAGTTGTGGAGGGCAAATTGTGTCATTCATTAACAAATGCAAACAAAATATCCCAAAACAGAAACACTCCATTGAAACCCAATGGGCTCTATGCACAGCTAGAGTTTTAAAGCCAAGGATAAACTTCCACTGATAGCTTAATGTGACAATTTTTAATTTCACGAGGTTGTTTTACAGCTGATAATGTAATGTTGTAATGTAATTACAATACATTAAGTTAAATCGACTTGAGCATTTATTTAGTTGTTCAAGCATAAAACGAGACGAAAGACTGTTGTAACCACTAACACCATCATTAGGCTAGTGCAGAAATTCCATTTATTTTTTTAAGACATGGTTGGGGGAAATGGATTTTAATGCAGTGCTTCTTGTCCGATCTGAGACCCACTTCATATTGTATATCTATAAGGCAGTGAAGATTGCTGATTTTTAAAGAAATCAGATCTTAAACGTGACAATTTTTTAATGGAAAGACAGTTCACAGGAAGCCCTTGGGCTGTCTCGCTGAAAACTATAAGTCTGTGTGCATATAGGCCATTTAATGTAGTTTCTAAATAAATGTTGTTATTATGATTAAATGGGCTGGTTTTTGCCAATTAAGCTTTATTTCAGTATTTAAAAAATTGTACAGTATTATTTTATAAATATCTCAACACATTGAAACGACCATGGATTTTGAATAAATACGTGTGCGTCTTCATATGGACAACTTTCCTGACATTTTTAAAACCTTCTGGTTAATTTTAGGGTATAGTTTAGCTTCTTTGAAATGTATGACAAACAATGTGTTCTTGTAAACATTTCATAAAAAAGTCCAGTGAAATAAACCTGGAAATGTTTCCAGAGTCGCATATTTCCAATGAGCCCGGCCTGTTTCTTTTATGTGTCTATTATGTTCAAGGGTTTTGCTGCCCCTATTGTTTCCCAGTTCACATACTACTGTATATATAAGCTATGTTCAGGCTTTATAGCATTGTGCATTGTCGAATTATTAAAGGGCACCTATGGTGAAAAATCTACTTTTCAAGCTATTTGGACAGACAGGTGTGTAATTATAGTGTATAGACCATCATATTGGGGTGACATAAACACACACAGTCTATTTTTATATCCTCGGTTTCTTGTTGCACGTCCACCGTTTTCAGCGTGTGAGTCAAAGCGATATCACTAAAGGAACACTTGCGCTCTATTTTTTGATGAAGCTCATTAGGCTCAACACAAGATTAATATTCTCCACAATATCACTGTAATTGGAATTATTGCTTTTGCGTGGCTCATCGCCGTGCATTTCGGAGTTCTGGGGGTGGGTTTTTGTCGGGGTGCATGCGGTGCAGATTCGGGTCAGCTGCTAGGCGCCCACGGCACCGTTGTGTTTGCCCTGGTGGAGGCTTGTGTCTGAAGTTCTGGAATGCGTGGCGCGACGATTCGGGAAACTTCATGTTTCTGCCGCGTCACTGAATGTCTGGTGTGCCGTGTCGCGGCGCACTCGGTGCCTCAGTCAAAGTTAATTCAGTGTGTGTGGTTATTAGTCTCGGTGTACAAGCTCGGCACTTGTACATCATAACCATACAAAGACACAAATGATTTTGTACTCTCTGCTTGGTCTGTGTCCCGAGTTGTACATGTACGGCTAAATGCTCATCCTAGCTTAGCTTAGCTTCTCTCTCTGTCTGTCAGTCAGTCTGTTGTAAACACAGAGCGTGGGAGCCCTTGGCTCCGGCCCCTTGTTACGTTGGACGGGAAGCCAAAACTGTGAAGCAACACGCCCCTAAAACAGCAAACTGTTTAAACGCCCCCAACATGACACTTTTGAACACATTATAATAAAAACATCTGAATTGTGTGTTGAACTGAACCTAAAGTGGCACACTCAGAAGAACCATAATATGAATATTAAATCATAAAAAAGGGGTAAACTATGTGCCCATTAAGGGGGGCGTAGCAGTGGCGCAGTAGGTAGTGCTGTCGCCTCACAGCAAGAAAGTCGCTGGGTCGCTGGTTCGAGCCTCGGCTCAGCTGGCGTTACTTTGTGGAGTTTGCATGTTCTCCCTGTGTTCGCGTGGGTTTCCTCTGGGTGCTCTGGTTTCCCCCACAAAACAGTCCAAAGACATGCGGTACAGATGAATTGGGTAGGCTAAATTGTCCATAGTGTATGAGTGTGTGTGTGGATATATCCCAGAGATTGGGGTTGCGGCTGGAAGAGCATCCGCTGGGTAAAAACTTGCTGAATGAGTTGGTGGTTTATTCCGCTGTGGTGACCCCGGATTAATAAAGGAACTAAGCCGACAAGAAAAGGAATGAATTGTTAAGGGGTAGTTCAACCAACAGTGACCATGATGTAATTTACTCGATTACCACATGTTCTAAACCTGTTTGAGTTTCTTTCTTCTGTTGAACACAAAATTTAATATTTGGAGGAAAAGTGGAAACTGGTATCCATATTATTTTCTTGACTTCCATAGTATTTTCATCATAGTAATGATGTCAGAATAAAGGTTTCGAACCACACAGGATAAGTCAAACATGAGTAAGTTTTCATTTTCAGGTGAACTTTCCCTTTAAACATAATCGGGTTTAGAATGTGCATGTAAACTCATGTGATAGTGATGATAGGTATTAGATCAATCCATAATGATGAAGACATCGTTTATCACCCAGCCCTAGTTTAACATGTAGCTTCTCTTCCGTTTGCTTTTTACCTTTGAGTCTAAGAGTAATATGGCCTGTTATTTTTTTCCGTTAAAAGTTCTCAAAGTGCTTTTGAAAGAAAACGACAGGGCATTAGTCACAAGAAGTAGTCATGATATTAAATGCTTATAAATAACAGTCTCGTTTCATATCCAGAGCGATATGCCAAAAAATCCTTATCTTGACGTTCTGTCACTTCAGTTTTCAGCCAACACACCGTGGCTGCGGTGCTGATGTGGATGAGCTTCAGTTCATCAAGTCTGAACTTATTAAATAAGGCTGATGTAACAGAAAAAAAATATATATACACGAAAGCCTGATGACTTCACAGCTGATTAACCCCTGTTGGGTCTGGAGTAGTCCTTACAGTCCCGGGGTTTCCGAAGGGTGAATCACAAGTCAGACACTCCTCCAGGCCTTTCCAAAGCCTCAGGGTTTGAAATGTGTTTACATGAATCTGGAATGTTCTAGATTCTTTTTTTTTTTTTTTCGGAATCGGCAAGCGTCTGGATTACTGACACAAACTCAGTTCCTTCCTGACCAAGCACTTTTTACACTGGACAACACAGCACCAGTGGAACCGGCAGAGACAGTTTTCCTCCAGGACCACCGTCTCGTCCCGGTGACCTCGTTCGCAACACAGAAGGTCACATCCGCTGACGTCCAGCGCCGTGCTGTTGCACGTCCTCCCGCGTGTGCCCAAGGAACCCGTCTTCCGGTTGGGCAAGCAGAAGTCTGGTGACTCGGCCGAGTAAATGAGATCTTGCTTGTCCGGAGGTTTGATGTTCTGCCCGACCGGGATGAGAGTCTTTCCGTCATTCCCACCCATGACTTTGGATGCCCCGTTGAAGCGCTCCAACAGCCGGTCGCCCACCTCGCGGAAGTGAGGCATTTTCTTCCAGCAGGTCCTCAGAGTGCATGAGCCAGACAGTCCGTGACATTTACATTCAGTCCTCATATAATTCTTCACCGCCTGCAGTTCAAGACACAAAGATAGTTTAGTGAGATAAAAGGAGAAGCTATTTAGGAGGAATTTACCCTCGTCTCTCTCTCTCTCTCTCTCCCCTCCCTCTGTAGCCTCCAGCAACCTGAAAGCCAATCCAACAACTTGAAAGCAAACATTCATACAGTTCTATACCTGTTGAAATTAACGTCTGATAAAAGCCGCATTTACTTTTTCTTTTATTCTTTTCTTCTTGTTTTAATTCCAAACAAGTTACTGCAGGGCATTTGAAACGAGTCCACTTTTACTTCGATCTGCCAAACAGATCTAGCTTGTCTTCTGTGATTTACCTGTGACTGACCCCGTACTAACAACAACCTGAGGCTGTGAGGCAGTGACCCCTGATGATGAAACACTACTGACATTGTGGCCAGTGGCCGATTGATGATGGCTCGGAGGAAACCATTAATCTGATCTTTTTGGACTGTTGATTAATAATGCACAATATGATGATAAACTGAGATGAGAGTACTCGAGTGCAGTACTGCGTTTTTTGTCATATAAGAAGTATTAGATTAGATGTCTCATTTCAAGCAAAGCTGTTACCGAAAGTCTCTACAAACAGCTGATATTTTCTAACAAGAGTATTTTATTGAGTTGAGGGAAAATCATCACCTTAGAATTTTAAGGTTCTGTCTGATATTTTTGTCAAAATTAAGCTATTGACATATTCTTAATAAATGACAACTTATTTACATTATGTGATGTCTTTTTATAAGTTGTTTACAATTCAAGACTTTATATTTAAAAGAAACAAATGTTACACATACACTGTTTGCTATGGAATGCAAAAACTTTGAAGCTCAACATCTCAAAATCATTCACACAAATAGATCCTTAGAATTCCAAGATGACGAAATATCAATAATGTAAAACAGTAAAAAGAAAATCATAAAAAAAAAAAATTGATTTAAATCTTTAAGAAGAGTTTTTCAAAAGCAACAGTGAACAGTATTGGACAGTATTAGAAAAAGTAGCTGCAATGTCGATGTTACAGATGCCACTACAGCGGCATTGAGTGGAGTTTATTTATAAACAAATTTCGAGAGGAGCACATGCTTATGATTGATCACAGCTGGTCCTGCATTAACTAATGCATGATTCACCAATCAAATGATTCCTAACTAACTATAAATAACCAGAGTTTCTTACTTCAGTTATCTTCACCTTGAACAATCCCCCCTTCCACTTCTACTCCTCCAGCTTTCACTTTATAGGGTGGCACGGTGGCCCAGTAGTAAGCACTGTTGCTTCACAGCAAAAATGTCACTGGTTCAAATCCTTAACAGGCCAGTTATTGTTTCTGTGTGGAGTTTACATGTTCTCCCAGTGCGCATGTGGGTTTTCCCCACAGTTCAAAAAACATGCATCATAAGTGAATTGATCAATATAAATGATCACTATAGTCGAGCTTTTAACGACCAGTATATCTTACCAGTATAGCAATTTGAATGTCATCAGCTCTAAATAAGGGGGAAGTTCTTGGGACATACCTGAGCTCAAACTCCCCTCTCGCCCAGCAAATGTAAGGGAACCCATGGCACGAGGATCTTATGAGCTCAGGGCTTTCTCCTGGGACAGCATGCCAAACTCGCTTCATAATCAATCATCAGCTAAGTGTGACCTTTTGAAATGGCATTTAATAATAATAACATTCAGGTCTAAAGATACTCAAGCTTAAAGTTGCATGTAAAAATGTATTAATAAAAAACATTGTTAAAAAACGGTATCTGTAAAGCTGCATGCAGATTTGTAATGTTTATTAATGTAATAAGTCATCTTACAATTTAATGTAAAATAAAATTTTAACATTTCTATTATTGTCTGCATAATACTTCTGTGTATCAACAGTTTTTTTTTTTGGAAACAGTGGCATTTTTTCAGGGATTCAACAGAAAATAAAATAATTAAAGAACAAAAATAAAAGTTTTTTTTTTTTCACTTTTTAAACTTTTTTTTTTGTAATACATTTTTGATTTGTTTAATGTGTCCTTGCTGAATAAATGCATTATTTGCATAACGGTGCAGTATGTAAGTTTGACACCCAGTGGTTGAACTAGGTATTACACTCCAGGATCAAAACAAACGCAAGACAGCCAGATTGAGGACAGGAGCGAGTGATTTAAACCGTGTTCTAAATAAAAGCAACGGCTCCCAATAAAAGGAATATTTTTCATTTTAAAAGGAGTTTTTGTCCAAACCAAAACCTCAAGTTGATATATTAGAAATGGCTTCTATTGCTCACAAGTGAACAACAGAAAACTGACAATGACCACCTCAGGTAATCCTCATGCGCTTTCTTCAGTGTTCATTGCTAACAATGAAAGCTGCAGCAGATTCACCTCAGATCTTGAAAATAAAATAAACCTTATGTGGAGCTGAATCTCATTTCGGAGTCTGCTACTGTCCACCGTAGGTCGCAATTAGGTCACGGACGCATACTTTGAGAGCCTCTCTGAATGAATGATTGAAATACGCTGTTGAATATCTGACTTCAGCACTGTTTTCAGATAAACAAGAATGTTCACTTAGCATGCTTTTTAAATATCTGCAAACATTTTATGGAATTTTTATGCTTTAGAGTAGACGAGTCAAAAACTTACATACAGCACATTTAAATAAATCTGACCTAAAATATTTGAATGGATTTATAGGTGCAATCAAGTTAAACATCATTATCAGAAAACAAAACTGAACAACGTGTGGGTATGACAACGAATGCAGCCTCCACAAATGCAATATTTCAATAATTCAATAATATATTTTCATGCCTGATGGACACACATGTCAAAATTTGTACAAAGTGTTCTACAAATAAACATCCATAAAGAATATCTTACTCCGTTTACTAAGCCACACTTGCTCTAGGATATGCATGTGTGGTTTTGTAAAGATGAATGATTACGCTGCAGGTCTGATCAGTTTCAATCAGCTCTCAACATTGTGATTAGTTTTAGTAATCACACAGAACAGACTGAAACATTTTCAGTGTCAAATCCAATAAATGGATTAAAATCTTTGATTAACTGCACATGTTAATGCCGTCTTTCCGAAAGTTCTAGTTCAAAACACTGCACTGCTAAACCGTTCAAAACAATAAGGGAAAGGAGAGAGCGGTGATGTTGGCAAACTAGTCTCAACTTAGTCCATTGTGTCTTCTCTAGTCTCTGCCAAGTTTATTTCCATAATATTTTTGAGCTCTTCCACGCTGGAGCTTTTGAAGTGCACCATCTGCTCATTTGAGCTTGACTATCTCGGAAGGGCTGTACAGGCAAAACAGCACACGACTGTGCTTGTATCATCTATGCATCGATGCAAAAAAAATCTATCTGGAGTTATATCTTACCAGGAACATGAAAAAAAAACAAAAAACATCTACACCAAACCTGCATGAGGGCGAACAGTACTGAAGCTGCTGTCGGCATAAAACATTGAGTAAATATTACTAAAACTAAAGGCTATTTCTTGCATTTGTTTATTGTTAATGTGTATTAACTATTTTTTATTAAGTCGTCAACCAGTGCCAGCATTTAAAAAAAAAAAAAATCTCAAAAATGTCATGGCTCTCAGAACACAATATATTAAGAACAAGTTTTAAGTGCAGCGCTTTGACAGATCATGGATCTTTTTAAGTCTGTGTGAAATGAAAATGTACAATGTTTATTTAGCTAGTGCACATTGCTTTTCTTCAGGTGAACAATAAATCATTGCAAGATAAAGTAAGGGGCAGCATGGTGGCACAGTGGTTTGCACTGTCGCCTCACACGAAGAAGGTCGCTGGTTCGAGTCCTGGTTGGGCCAGTCTCCGGGTGCTCTGTTTTCCCCCACAGTCCAAAAACATGCGATTTAGGTGATTGGGTAAACAAAATTGGCTGTAGTGTATGAGTGTGTGTGTGAATGGGAAAGTGTATGGGCTCTATTTTGACGGTCCATGCGCAGAGCGCAAAACGCAGGGCGCAAACGCTTTCATGGCGTGTCAGGACGCTTTTTTGCTAATTTAAGGACAGGAAATCTGCCTTGCGCCGCGGCACATGATCTAAAAGGGTTGAGTTTATTTTGTTAATGAGTTATAGGTGTGTTTTGAGAATAAACCAATTAGAGTCTCATCTCCCATTCACTTTAAGAGTCAGCTGCGTCACGCCAAGAGCGCATTCACTATTTACAGGACGCAAAGTAAGTCTACGTGGAAAAAATGAGCATTTCACTAGCAAACAGTTAACAGTTTTTTTAACAGAAAACTGTTAAACAGAGCATCTACTGCGTGAGAATGAGAGATAATGGAACTACTTTCACATTGGCTCTTGGATAGAGAAACCTTTACGCACAGACATCAATTAGTCTATAAATAAATAATTTTGTTTGTTAAGCGCAAATATTCGTTTCAAAACTATTTCTAAATTCAGTTCTAATTTCCAGCAAACTAATAAATTAATAATAATAACAAAATGTGCTCAAAAACCTAAGTTATATCCTAAAACACATGCTGTGCCCCATATGGTCTAAAACCTGACAGGTGGGCAAATCTAAGCGTGTTTTTAATAAAACAAATATAAATATGGATATAATAAATAATACTGCTAATAATAATAACATTATACAAAAGCAAATTGTTATGAATGAACTGAAAAAGCCTCCCGAGATGAAGAAGACATAAAAGCAGTGATTTTTCATATTTATGTAGGCTAGAAAATAATATGTTTTGTAATATTTTAATCCTTTATATTTATATCCTATATTTATTCTTATTATATCCTATGTATATCCTTAATATTTAATTTTTTTCATATGTAAAGATATTTGCCTATTGCTCTCTTGTGCGTATTAAGCAGTGCGTAAGCGAGGCGCAAGTTTAGAGTTTAGACCGGGTTAGTTTTGGTCTAATGAAAAATCTATTATAGTTTCTCAAAATAGCAACGCGCCAGCGTTCCGCCTCAGAACGCCTTCCTTTTTAGACCAGAACGCCTATGGGC